CCGCCCGCGCCCCCTGGGGGACCCTCCGCCGGGGGCGCCGACCCCGCCCACGGGACCTTGACCTTCTCTTTGACGGGGCACTGAGCCCTCGTGGGGGATCCTGGGCCTCTCCGCGAAACTCCCCTGCAGCAGGCGCCCTGAGCGGCCCTCCCCCCACGAAGCATCGGGGGCTGTTCCTTCTTGGGGCTCTGTGAGTGCAGGTGAACCCTCACCTCCCCGATTCCCCAGTGGGATCTTGTCTTCAGGACACTGGTGCAGTTCTTGGTACAGAGGAGGCCCCAGATGAACCATTGTTGGATGAATGTATGGAGACCAGGCTCCTCCTGTGCCTCCCCAATTAGGACACAGAGCTGCCTCGCAGGTGTGCTCTATGGCCCTGCTGTCCTCAGTGGGGCATGCAGGTGGGCCAAGGAAGGCTAGTCAGGACAGATGGCTTCGGGAAAACTTGGAATCATAGGATCCGATTGAGAGCCACCAACCGGCTGCTTCAGGTGGTGAAATGGCCTCTTCCTGCCCAGAGCTGGCCAGTGAGGTTCTCATGGGCAAATGTATTTGGAACCCCCAGAGCAGTTATGTGGGGAGTTGCTGTCTGTCTCACCTCCCTCTGCCTTGGGTCCTGGAACCTCTGCTCCTTTCATCCATTCATTCCTAAAACACTGAGCAGAAGTTTACCTGGTGCCATCATTCCTTATGCTTTCAGGTCTCATCTGTAAATCAGGGACAAGAGTCATGGTGCTCGCCTCTCTTGCCCACAGCCTCCTGCCAGGTTCCCCAGCCTGGCAGATGGAGTCTTTCTGCATATGTTCCACCTCCAGAGCTACAGGCACTGGGCAGCACCTGGGAGGCCTTTGCAAGGACTGCCTGGGGATTTGATGGCGCAGCTGGTGGTTCACCATGACACACAGTACAGTGTCTGTGGGTGGTGGGCTGGGCCCTGTGTCGGGCCCTGCAGGAGAGGGTTTTGGAGGGTGTGGACACAAAGGGAACAAGATGAGATGGGGGTGTAGGTGGACTGCTGCTCGCTGTGGGGCATGCAACAGCTCTACTAAGAGAGGCGCAGGGTTAGGCGCAGGGTTGGCACTTGGGAGCTCAGGAGCAGGGGCTTGAAGAATGGCGGGGAGCGTCTTGAAGGATTGAACCTGTGTGTTGGAGTGGAGGGCTTGAGGGATTTTCTCTTTTGTCTGGGGAGCAGGAGGCAGGAACGGGCCTAGTGTGAAAAGGGACTTAGGTGTCAAGTTAAGCCACTTGGTGGGCCTGAGCCTGGTGGTGTCAAAGAGGAGGCCACCTGGTTTGTGTTCAGCTTCTCCAAGTCTTGGGGGTCTGTTGCCAGATCTCTGGTAGGGTTGGTAATATGGCATTACCTACCAAATTGTTGGGAGGGTTACATGAGGTGAGAAGCAGTCAGTTAACATTAGACATTATAAGAGGTGTTTTGGGCAGTAGGGAGATGATGGCAATGTTTTATTCCTTCATTTATCCAACACGTATTTGTAGAATTATGACTCTGTGCTGGACACTACCAGGTAAAAGAAATACCAACCAATGAAACAGACAAAACAAAAAACAAAAAAAACCTATAGATGTGTAAACAGTGGTGACAATTCCTGTGCTCTATCAGAGGGCCCAGCCTGGGGAGACCTCCTGAGGTCTCCAAGGAGCAAAGGTCCAAGATTTGAGGTATGTGCAGAGCCAGACGCCATGCTGCGGAGTGGGAAATGCATGAGACAGTGAGGAAACGCAGTAGGGCAGGATTGCCAAGGGCCTGTTTTGCTGGCTGAGGAGGGGGCGTTTTAAGCCAGAGAGCGATGTAGCTGGAGAAGGTGTGGAGGGAGGGTGGCTTCCCTTCTGTGAAGAGATCCACAGTCTTATTCAGGCGTTTGTGAGTGAGGTCCATTGCACAGGAGAGCCGAGGCTTGGGTTGCATGTAAGGCATAGGGAAGGCCTCAGCGATGGGCCGGAGAGGATCTCTGTGAGAATATGGGTAGCAGGGATGAGAACAAGAATCATCTCATCAAGTTGTTAAGGCTTTGGAAGCTGCGGGCCCGCCTGGTGAACCAGCGTTGGCCCAGGCCTCCACCAAGGGCAGGGTCCCTGCTGCTTCTGCCCCATCTGAGCATGCTTAAACCCCCTGGAGAGCAGGGACCATGTGGGTTTCCTTTTGATGTCTTTATCTTTCCCAGAGCCAAGTGGAACTTCCGGGGCCTCTGAAAACTCTCAGAAAAGATCTGTGTTACCAAAACACAGATGTTGATTACAGACAGAGATGGAGGTGGGAGAAGAAGTTGGAGGAAACCTGCAGCATCCTGGGGGTTTTACGGTTTTCACACTGTTTTCAGCACTTACTCATTCAACAAACGTTTACTGAGTGTGTATAAATACTGAGAACTGTGTAGGGAGTTGGGGGCACAGGGGAATAAAATGTGACCCCAACCTTCTAGAAATGCTGCTGGGAGACCAGAATAAATGCCTGAGACAAGTTTAAACCTCTCCAGGGGGTTTAAGCATGTTTCATGTGGTTTTGGAACAAGCCTGTCTTGGGGGCTGGTGTTCCCTTGCCCTGTTCGCAGTGGCACAGACCAGGACACAGGTTTAGAGAGGTTAAATAGCTTGCCAAGGTCACACTTGCAGGCCGTGGCCGAACAAGGGGAGTGGAGTGAATGAGGCAGCCAAAGGGAGAAGTGGCTTGACCAGAGGTGGCAAAAGGGGCTGGGCCATAGACTTAGTCATCTCTCCCCTCTCTGGAGTCCACCCAGCTCTAGGGCACCAGACTCCTTCCAGGGCTCTCAAGCTACCCTTTCCTACCTGGGTCCACGGACCCAGGCCCCCTCTCCCCCCTTCCAGGGCCCCAATCCAGGCCTGGGGGTGGAGCAGCCTGTCTTGTCTGTGGGTCTCCCCAGCGGGGGCTGTCAGGGCTGCAGTTTTCAGCCATAGAAGGACAAGGTTGCACGCGGGTGCACCCAGGAGCCTGGGCTGGCTTCAGCTCCTCCAGCTGCCTGGAATGGGGAAGGGAAGGAGGAGGATAAACGAAGCCAGCAGGCCAGCAGGCTGTCTCCAGCCGGCCCCCAAGTGGGCCTTTCTGCCTCTCACCTGTCCCAGCTTAGAAACTGGAAAATCCCACAGTGCTCCCCCAAGGGAAGCTGTCCCCAGGAGTGGCCGGTGTGTTGATCCACCATTCAGTGCTGGCAATCCTGGCATATACACTGTTTCCATTCTGGTTCAGACTTGTCCTATTCCTGGCCCCATTCAGAGAAACACTCATCTCGGGCTGGGCTGGGCTGAGTTCAGCAAGCTGGTGTGACTTCCTAGTCTGTGACGTGTACTGAGAGGCCAGATGTGTGGATTCCCAGGGCTAGCGTCTCCCCCTCTGTGGGTCTCAGTGTCCTCATGTGTAAAATGAGATAAATTCCTGCCAAATAGAGTTACTCTGAACATAGAGTAAATGAGACACTGGCGCTCGACATGTGCACTATGTGAGTCCTGCAATCTGCAGGTACCCTATTGCTACAATATTAGTCCTGGGCTTAGTTGTGTCTTTGCCATGACTCAGGATATGGCTTCCTGCGGAGAGGGGGAAGGGATCTTCATCTTGAAAGCTTGGACTTGAAGTCCCGCTCTTTCCCAGTCATTCCCAGCCTCTGCTTGGATGCCTCCAAAGCCTTGAGCTCTGCTTTGTCCCCACCTGGCTGCCCTAGCTCTATTAGCAAGTGCTTGCTGCCTCATTTGCCTTCTCAGCAATCCACAGACCCCCTTCCCCCAACCCCGCTGAGGCCGATGCTGGCTGGGATGAGGTCACCTCTGCTCATCTCCTTTCTGACACATACTCCCACCCCCATCACCTCTTCTCTCCATCAGTCCTCCTCTCTTTATTTTTATTTTGGAGACAGGGTCTTGCTTGTCACCCAGGCTGGGATGCAGGGGCATGATTATAGCTTGCTGCAGCCTCAAACTCCTGGCCTCAAACAATCCTCCCACCTCAGCCTCCTGAGAGGCTGGGACTACAGACACTTACAACCACTCCCAGCTAATCTTCCTGTCTTTTCCTTTTCCTGTTGCAGAGATTTTGATTCGCTTTCCAAGGAAAATGTCTTCGAGAATAATCGTTTGGTAAGTCCCCAGAAAGGCGGAAGCCCAAGAGGCTGTGTATGTGTGTGACTGTGTGTGTGGCTGTGTGTGTGTGTATGTGTGTGTGTTTGGGAACACAGGCAGGGGGCTCTCCCAGGGCAGCCGTCCTTGTACATGGGTTGCAGGTTCCAGAGAAGGGCTGGCCTGCTGCTGTCCCCACTCCCTGCTCTCCGTAAGCACCCTAGTGCCTGGAACATCAGGCTCTCCTTTCTCCAGGCCATCAACTGGGGCTCAGGGCGGGACTAGAACTGAGGGTAGCCCAGTCCCCCCATCCCACAGAGGGGAGCCGGGCCTAGGCTGAGGCCTCCCCATAACACTGCCTCCTCCTCGGCCTCCTCTTCTTGCTACGGCTGCTCCTGCGCCCACCCTGGCACCTGCCCCCACCCCAGGCCTTTGAAGTGGCCGAGAAGGAGCTGGGAATTCCTGCTCTCCTGGACCCCAATGACATGGTCTCCATGAGTGTCCCCGACTGCCTCAGCATCATGACCTATGTGTCCCAGTATTACAACCACTTCTCCAGTCCCGACCAAGGTGAGAGGGGAGTGCAACCCTTCAGGGAGGCTGGCCTGGGCAGTGGCCCTGGGGCTGTTTGCTACTTGTTTTCTGAGCTGCAGACAAGTGACTTGTTTTCTGATCATTCATTCACGTCATCATTCACTTGTTCAAATATTTCTTGAGTAAAGTAGTCCTGTGCTGGGCCCTGGGTGCGTAACTGTGAATGTGATCACTGTTCAGTCTTATGGAGGAGATGGGCAACAAACACATAAACCAAAAAGAGAACACAGTAACGTTAGAGGAGACAAAACAGGCTGAGTTCATGTGCTGTGTGAGTTCACCTCCCTGGCACTCGCCTCACTTCCTGTTTGCAGGCACTTCCCTGAGTTTGTCTTTTAGCAGGGCAGCCACCCTGTCTTATGGAGCTATTACGCAGTTTCCTCCACAGAAGTGACCCTCAAGACCTGAGAACTGAGAGGCTGGGGAACTGGGGGTGGGGGCTGTAAGGTTGCCTCCCTGCTCCGAGTCAGGTCACTGGGCATCCCCGTGCAGGAACCTCTTCTGAGGCTTCTGGACCTCTCCTTCTGCAGAGAGGACATGGACACAAAAAGGATGAGAATTCAGGTGTCCTGAGTGCTATGCTGGGTTACTGCTGTCCATGGGACCTGGGTAGAACCCATTTTAGTCCTTCCTCCTGTCTCTTCTGTCCATCTAGACAATTCCAGCCCATCTTTTAAAAAAAAAAAGTGTTAGTCCTACACAGTGGCTCATGCTTGTAATCCTAGCACTTTGGTAGGTGGAGGCGAGAGGATTGCCTGAGCCGAGAGATTTGAGACCAACGTGGGCAACTTGGTGAGACCTCATCTCTACAATAAATCAAAAAATTAGGGCAACTCCATCGGGTCCTCTCCCACTGTGGGGGCTTCTCTGTCCTTTCAATAAATCCTGCTTTAAAAAAAAAAAAAATTAACCAGGCGTGGTGGTGCATGGCTGTAGTTCCAGCTACTTGGAAGGCTGAGGCGAAAGAATCAGTTAAGCCCAGCAGGTCAAGGCTGCGGTAGCCGTGAGCATGCCACAGCACTCCAGCCTGGGCGACAGAGTGAGACTCTGACTCAAAAAAAAAAAGTGTTTTATGTAGTGAGGAATTTCTTTGCTTAATAAAAAGTAAAACATGAGCCGGGCTCGGTGGCTCAGCCTGTAATCCCGTGCCTTTGGGAGGCTGAGGT